GGTCCACGTTCGGCCCGAACGGCCGAACGCATCCCCAAGGGGTCCCATACGTTCGGGCGTTCGGGTTCGGGCATTCGGCCCATCCCCCGAACGCCGGTTACCCTGGTCACAAAACTATGAAGTTAGTATGAACTAAAAGAGCGCACTTTGCGCAACAAACAGCAAAAATAAAAATAAAACAAGAACCATTCTTTTCCTCATTCTTCTTTTGACGTCCCCTTCACCGTGCCTCTCACGTACAAGGCTCGCCACATTGATGAAGTTGAGCGCGAGCTGCCCCCATCCCCGTGTGCCATAACAGCCCACTTGCACGCTGTGAGAAAGAGGCAGAGCGAAGGGGGAGGGGATAAACACAGGGAGGAGAGATGGAGAGCAGACAAACAAAGAACGATAAAGGGATAGTATGGACTGTGGAGTGACGATGAAGGCAAAAGAGGATAGGAAAAGGCTAAAAAATGTGTCTGTCCTTGACGACAGAGAGGACATACATTGTAATGATGAGGTGGATGAACACATGGAAGACCTAGCTGAGCATTCTCAGTGCAACAACTGCCACAACGGGTGGCATTGAGCATGCCCACCATACACCCCCAACAAATGGCATGTCGATTGCAGGCCAAAATGAAAGAAGAACGGTCACCACAAAAGAGCATGCATTCAGTATAGCGCCCATGGCCACAAAAAAAAATGGACATAACAGTGTCCGGATGGGGAGGGTGCCTGCAGTCAGGAACGGTGGGACAGTCCTCTGCACACATGGATGCAGAAACCATGCCATTGTAGTGATTGTGACAGAGACGATGGCGGCTACAGCCGAGTGTAACCGTGTTTGTGGCTGTGCAAAGGAGAAGGTGGCAAAGTGTTGGTACATTGCCTTGCTGCAGCACGGGGCCAGAGGAATGATCTTCGACAGAAAAGAGATTGCAGACGGTTTGTTGTGCCAAGACAACAGCATCATTTTGTAAGAAATCAGTGACATCAATCATGGCATGGACCATGATGCCGTTGTCCCACAGCTCCCAGTGGTCAGAGGCCAATGTACAACGACCATGTAATGGGCCAGGTCCGTGCACAATGCAGGCAGAGATGTGGGATGGCGGATTAAGCCACTCACCGGCTCTCGAGCATTGCGTAGTTCAAGTTGACGGCACCTCATTGCTACTTGTAGGACAGCAATGGTAAAGCCTCCTTCGCTGGTATAATTACAATCCTCTGGCCGTAGTTGGGGAAGATCAGCATCAAGCTGAAGGGCGATTGCAAGGAAGTCTGATGGTGTATAAAACGGGCGGTGGAGAATGTGAAGACAGATATTAGTTGCTGTCAGACCACAGAGATTGGTGAGGTTCTCAGGCTGGCTTGCTGGATGCTGGCCAACAATTTGCAGATCACCCAGATGGTGTTGCAAGCCCAAACTGTGTTGGGTTGTTCGCTGGTCAGTCATTTGCAGATCACCCATGTGGTCTGCACATGGCGGAGCACAAAATTGTGGTTCATCCGAACGATGCTGGTCAGCCATTTGCAGATCCCCCATGTGGTCTACGCCTTCTGGGGTCAACTGCAATCTGGGCAGATCATGTTCCAATCCCTAGGACTGCATCCTGAGTAGGGACTGTACCTGGAGTCGGGAGTGTACTCTGGGCAGCAGCTGCATCCTGAGTAGGGACTGTACCTGGAGTCGGGAGTGTACTCTCGGCAGGGACCACATTGTGTTGAACAGGTGAGTCGTGAATATCTAAAGCCGCAGGGTACCGTGGCTGCCTGCAGGCCGCTGGACTGTCTGCAGGAGGCATAGGAGTGGATATTGTCATTTGAAACAAAGGAACCGCAACAACCTGTGGAGGAGGCACAGAGAGAACGGGGCAGACAGAAACAGGTAGCTGATCGCCGGACAAGTGACGATGCCGCAGCTGTCGTCGGTGATACACAACACGAGGAGTAGTGGTGTTGCAAACAGAAACTGAACTTGTACCTAGCAACGAAGGTGGAACAATGGAAACTGGAGAGTCTGTTCGCAAGCGAGACTGTGGAGGAGATGGGGGTGGTGAGGAGGAACGCAGCCGTCTACGGCCAAGCACAGACAAAGATGAGAGGGGGCTGCATTGGGCAAGATTTTGGAGCAAAGGCGGTGAGCGTCACAGAGATTGTGATGTTCTTTGCATTGGAGCTCCAGGACAGGCATCTGTAGCAGTAAAAACTAAAGTAGGGGGAATTACAGTTAGGGAAGCTGTTGTACTGAAAACTGCAGCAGTGGAAACCGCAGCAGTAGAAACTGCAACTGCGGAAACTGGAGCAGTGGAAACTGTAGCAGTGGAAACTGTAGCAGTGGAAACCGCAACAGTGGACACTGCAGCAGTGAAAACTGCAGGAGTGGAGACTGCAGCAGTGGAAACTGCAGGAGTGGAGACTGCAAAAGTGGAAACTGCGGGAGCAGCAGATGAGCAAGCAGGGGCAGGACGAGAGCATCGTGGAGGCGAAGAAGAAATTGGATGATACAAGGACCATCGCAGCATGCATCGAAACCACTGAGAGAGACGCGTCACATGCCTAGGATAGCGACGTTGGTGGGAGCGCATGTAGAAGGTCCACCCCTTAGCAAGGGTTGGTGGGGAATGCCCACGCGAAAGCATACGACGAGCAGCTTGAAGATCATGTTGACAAATGTCATCAACAAAGCGTGCTCCATCCCAATACAGCATCAAATTAGAAATTTCTGGGCCAGCATCCGTTCCCATTGGAATACCGATGATTTGTTTCCGAAGCGTGCCATCTCTCATGTACAGAAAAGTGTTTTGTACAACAAAGCGAAGATGTTGGAGAATCTGAGAAACAGAAAGGGTATCCGGGCCTGAATCAGTTGCCCATTGGCCACAACGAGGTCCTCGAATAACCATGTTGAGGGCAACGCAGCGTGAATGAGTGCAAGCATGCCGAAGGGCATAAACATGAGCTTCATCAACAACTTTTGCCACCTTATTCAGAATGCGGTCATGAGGAAGGTTGGTGTACATTGTGGTAAAATCAACAGTGCGAGGAGAGAGGCCACGAAGATACGATGCATTGTTTTTCAGGTCAGTCGTCACTTCATCAACACTTTGAACGATCCAGCACCGTCGAACACCAACTTGTTGATAGAGCTCAGTGTCTTTCTAGCGAAGAGTAGAGATCACTCCTTGCAAAGCAGCGCTAACATACGACGAAGTAGTCGTTGTGCTAGCGAGGGGTTTGTGAGTAGGCCATTCATGAACGGTGCTAATTGTTGGACGAGGGCGAGCACGCGGGGGAACAACATTGTTATTTTGTGTTGTGACTCCAAGAGTGCTGCGAAGAGCTGGAGGAGACTTGTGAGCTTCGAGTACATAGTAAAGGTAAGGTAGGGTATCAGTATGGGTGTAACCCCAATGGTGATTATATATATATGTATTATTGGGCAGCTCTGTTTGACGATGTATATGCAAGGGAAATAAACGATAGCAAAATGATAGAAATCCAGAATGCAAATTCACACTGAAAGCCAGAAAGTCCAACGTTGTCCAGAAAGCAGAAATGCATTGATATTCCACCAACGGAGAACCAAAGCACCGAATCCGAATGTCAATGAGAGCATACTCTCGCCATCACCAACACACGTATCCAGAACACCTCCTCCTACTTGGTGCTCAGCGCCCAGACTACTACTACACAACTACTAGCCGCCAACGAATTGACAATGCATCCCGTTGACGTCAGTGGCAACAACCTAAGTGCATGAAGATGTCGACCTCGTAGACCATCCCCAAGACCAGGTACGTGCCCTCAAATCATCAACCTCATTTCTCTCTCTCTCTCTCTCTCTCTCTCTCTCTCTCTCTCTCTCTCTCTCTCTCTCTCTCTCCCCCACACACGTCTTACATCCCACACACGAAGACCACCACCATCACCGCTGACTATCCAAATTGGTGCCCGGCTACGGCGCTGCCTTCTTGCAGTGCCCTCAACCCGAATGCCCGCGCGAGCTCTGCACTTGCACTAGCAGCATGCAGCCGCGAGCCCTCGTCGCTCCAGCAGCGTTGCTGCTTGCACCTCCAAGTGCCCCCCCTTTCGAGCCCGGCGCCCTTCCCTTTTCTATATGGAAAGTGGCGGGCGCTTTCCCTTGCTCCCCCACGTGAGACCGAGTTTTCAGTAGCTTCAGTCTCCATCAAAATGTTCGCGCCGGGCCCTTTCAAACAGTGGCCTGGTATCGAATTGGTTAGGCATGCCCAACCACCCAGGCACAAACGTGCAATGCTCCCTCCAGCACGTTGCTGGAGGAGCCTGGAAGCCTCACGAATATTTTGGATTCTCACAAGCAAGGCGGATGTAACCAAATGGCGCATGGCAACTGTCTGGCGCCAACCACGATTTGCAAAAATTAACGAGTTCTGGGCGCATTGAGATTCAGGGGGCCCGCCTTCACTTAGCACGAGCACGCGCCTGCTGCAGCGCCCTATGCCGAGGCATAAAGCCTCGCATATATGTAGTCAAACAGAGCTGCCCGGTATACCCTAGGCAGAGAGGGAGAAGAGGACAACAAACGAGGGGCTGTGACAAACTGTTTCGTCGGAATTTCACCGACTCATTAGGAGGTTGAGCAGTATATACATTTGACTATATATCGTCACAAACAGAACTGTCCGGTAAACCGTAGGCAGAGAGAGAGAAGAGGACAA